TGACTTCAGGTCTATAGTCCCGTAATTGTAGCTTATTAAATTCTATAGCAGAGAGAAGGAGAAAATTATACACAAACATGCGCACGTATGTGCGTTTGTGTAATGCATTTTACTTAAAGCATCTGCGCATAAAAACGAAGACCAGCTTGTCGCCCCGTTTTGTCAGCAATGAGCTTTCGTTTTCTATGTAAAAATACCATTAAATATAGCAGTTTGCCGTGACGAACTCTTTTATTTAATGGTGCTAAATAATCGCTGATTTCACCCGCAACACACCATGAGCGTTTTTTTTTTTTTTGTTGAAGAAGCACAGTATATTCCGAAATGCAGTGAACGCACGGTGTATTCAGCCAAGGTTCAGTCCATTTCGCTGCTACCAGTTTCCTCAGTTCAGGGTACTGGTTCGAGAAGATAACACCGAGACAATCAACTCACTGAGCGATATTCACCATGTATTGTCTAAAGCCCTACACAGCCTATCGCCATCAGTTGAAACGTGTGCCAAGAAGGTGGAGACAATGAGCGGGATAGCGAGGGAACATGTAATTTTTCTCATATGCTAGAAAGTTTAAACGAAAGGAAATACCTGAAAAGGCTTGAAAACTCCTGGAAATATTTGGTACAAAAATTGCATAGGATCCAGTTTTCTTCTACGGGAGCCAATAGTTTCTGGAACCCATAAGAAATTTTCACAAGAAACGAGTTATGAATCGGAGGCCTTTTCGTGCCAGAGTTGTTTTTCTTCGCAACATTTTTCACAATCCAGCACAGCAAATTGAAGGCTAGCCTTACATTGTAGACAAAGATTTCATTTTCTTTGGCTCGTCCACGTCCAGAATCACAATCAAGCGATTCCTGGAACAATCGTGACAAAATTTTCATCCGGGAATAATTTTTCAGTGACATACGTGTAGAAACCATTCACTTTTGGAGAGCCTCCTTTGTGACCGTTTTACAGTTTATTATTGCAAGTAATTACAAATTAACAAATATTCAAAGTGATAAGTGATAAATTCCCCAGAGATTTTTTTTTTGAGATTTGCAAGCCAGATCCTGAGTCATCTTCCTATTTTCTGTAAATAGGCTATTTTCTAAGTTAAGAATTTTTCAGATTGCACCATATGGGCTTGACTCACAGGTTCTTAGCTGCTGCAAGAAAGTGTTCAGTGCTTGCCGAAAATAAAGTTCAGTAGACGATAGAGTAATGAATTAATACACAGTGCACCAAAACGCTTTGACAGTGATTTGTTCCAGGCCCATCAGTACATCTGTTACACTTGGTATGGCTAACATCCGGACAATCTAGTACCTAAAAGTTGGATCACTAAATAAAAACATTTAAGTAAATAAATAAAACGAGTGCTTAAACTGATGTTTAATTGCAGTTGGCTTATGGAGTAATTGCTCTAACAGCCATCTACTTGATTGTTGGTTCGCAGGCTGGCTTGGTTTGCAATCTTATCTGCTTTGCTTATCCTGCTGCTGCGAGCCTAAGAGTATGATTTTGGTTGCATGGAGAACAGAGAGTATATGAGCTGGGTGCAGAAGTTATATCGTTTTCAGGAAGCATGATAAA